CGGGGGGTGACGGGGGACGCGGGTGCCCGCCCCGCAGTGCCCCAGGTGCTGAGGAGCTGCAGCGAGTTCGTGGAGCAGCACGGGGTGGTGGACGGCATCTACCGCCTCTCCGGGGTCTCCTCCAACATCCAGCGGCTGCGGTGAGCGGGGATGGGGCGGGGAGGAGGTGGGATGGAGGTGGGGTGGGGATGGAGAAGATGGGATGGGGATGGAGAAGATGGGATGGGGATGGAGAGGATGGAGACGAGGATGGGATGAAGATAGAGCAGTTGGGATGAAGATGATGGATGTGGGATGGAGATGGGATGAGGATGGAGAGGATGGAGTTGGGATGAGGATGGCAGTGGGATTGGGATGGAGAGGAGGGGATGAGGGTGGAGCAGATGGGATGGGGATGGAGATGATGGAGATGGGATGGGGATGGAGGTGATGGAGATGAGGATGGGATGAAGACAGAGCAGTTGGGATGGAGATGATGGATGTGGGATGGAGATAGGATGGAGACAGAGACAGGAACAGCTGGGATGGAGATGGAGAGGATAGAGGTGGGATGGGGATGGAGATGGGATGAGGATTAGGATGGAGCAGATGGTATGGGGATGGAGACGATGGAGATGGGATGAGGATGGAGAGACTGGAGGATGGAGGTAGGATTGGGATGGAGATGATGGGATTGAGATGGAAACAGGATGGGGATGGAGGTGATGGAGATGAGGATGGGATGGAGATAGAGCAGTTGGGATGGAGACAGGATGGAGATGACGGATGTGGGATGGAGATAGGACAGAGACAGAGACAGGAACAGATGGGATGGAGATGGAGAAGATGGAAATGGAGACAGGAACAGATGGGATGGAGATGGAGATGGAGAGGATGGATGTGGGATGGAGCTGGGATGGAGCTGGAGCCCAGATGGGATCAAACCAGAGGAAACTGGGAGGGAGGGAGATGGAGGACGGAGACGGGAGCGGATGGAGGTGGAGAGTGGAGGGAGATGGGGTGGGGAGGGGGGAGGT